GAATGAAATGAGATTGTATCTTTTCTGGCCTTTAGGACTTGTCTTTTCAGAATATAACACTATTATATCACTTGATGTTAGAATTATGAGTTAACTTAGACTTATCCTGAGGAATTGCAACTGACAGGTTAACTGTGAGGGATAAGCCAGTGTACTTTCATTATGCTTTTACCAAAATTTATCCAAAGAGGGAGTTCTAGGACATCATAAGTGGTATCACAATGAAAAATAAGCTCTCATTTTTGAAAGAGAAACTGAAGTAGGTATGACCCCCTGTATTTTTGTGGAATCTTGGTTCTGTATTGTAACTGAAGCAGCGCTGAAATGGAGTAGAACATTGTATACATGACAGTCCTGAGTTAGCTACCTGCACTCTCAAAGGCTCTTTTTCAGTGTTTGATGGTATCATGGGGTATATGGCTCCCTCCACCAATATGATGGTATTACAAAAAACTCCCAAAGTTACAGCCAGTAAGTTGGAGGAGGAAGAGGAGGAAGTGTGAATGTTTTTCTTTGAGTTAAGCATTCATTTCTGAAATACACTTGAAAAGGAGTCCTATCCGTATTTGCTCTTTCTATGGTCTTTTCCTGAAAAGAGTGATGAAAGAGAAAGACCTTGCTGACCTTAGAAATTGCTATTCTGCTATTATAGAAATGCTTTCTAATTGTATAGTACCTACTGAGCTCAAAACACTTTATTAATATTAATTAATTAAGCCTCCAAGCTACCTGTGAGATAAGCAATGGGTATATAATGATCAGTGCACCTAGCTCTAAAAATGCAACCACCTTTAGGGTGGAACATTGCAGTTGCTTAATATCACACAGCGACACAACATTTGTCAAGGTCAGGAAGCAATCTTGCATGAGAATTTAGGTAGGCAGAATATAGTAACTCAAGTTGGAATTCAGCCAGGACACCGGAGTTAACATCCATAACCTTTTGGTTTTAGATTTCATTTGAAGCACTGTCTCCTATATCAGTATAGTGTCCTCTAACACCATTGATTCAAGATTGTATCAGATGGGAATGCAACTCACCACTTCCTGTATTACCTACTTGTTTTTTTGGAGGTCTCTCATTCAAATACAATTAATTAATTAAACTGAGTAATGAGTAATGGCCAGAGGCCATGGGGGGCCCATTGTGGTAGGTGCTATATAAACACATAGAAAGAGACAGTCCCACCTCTGAAGAACGTACATTCTTTAAAGTTGACCCAGCCTGACCCTGATTGGCTTGTGAGAACTGACAAGATCATAACATATGGTATAGCTGCAGGGGGTCAGGAAAGTGTCTCTTGCATTAGCCAGGGCTGGCCATATATCACTCAGATTAAGAGTAATTGACACCTGTTTAATTGAGGCTGACAGGCCATGAAAAAGATGAGCATCTAATCTTGCGGTTTTACCTGGGAGAGGAGTTCCTTACTGAAATAGGGCTGAAGAAATGGAGGCAAATATACTATCCTTCTATATCTAATTCTGTCTTGACATGGAGCATGATTTGTTTCTGGCAGGTTAAAAGTCTGTTTCGTTTCCTTTTGACAGAACCCAACGCTTTTTCCAGACACAGTAGGAGCAACAATATTGGAACTCCTGGGGCATTGGCTAAACACCCTTATTCAGATCCTTTGCTCCTGCTCTGGAATGACAAAGCCGGAGGCTGGGTTTGGACTGCGCCTTCCAAACTAAAATAGCCTCCGAATCTGCTTTTCTTTTCTTTTTTTTCTATTTTGTGAGATCAGTCAGCTTCTACACATCTGAAGCACAAAGAAACCTCTGGCACATTAGCTTGCAGAAATATTTCTGCATATTCCATGACATTAAAACTGAAATTCCATCTTCTCTAACTTGTCTGCTATGGATGGGATGCTGCATTTCCTCTCCGTCATTTTTTCAGTCAGGCAGCTGAAATACCACATTGGCTAGGACCATCAAATGACAGGTCCCTGCTCTTCTACCCCCAATGCGTCTTACCTGCAGAACAGAATATCATAAGGCTGCAAGAATCAATTTATGTGGGCTTGCATCCAGACCACCAATCTTTAGCTCCCTTTCTTCTTATTGAGAATTATCTCTGTAGGATCAGACTGCAATGAGGCTGCCAAAGACAAACTACTGTGGCATGCAACCAGGCCGTCCACCCTCTTAACTTCTTGTGCTAAATGTGAGAGGTTTCAGCAGGAGTCACTGACTTACTGGTGAGTGTCTCTCTTCTGAAGAAGCTGCTACATGAACTGGAACAAATTATTTAGGAATCTAACATCAAAGGCAAAACAGACAATAAATATAAAAATAAAGTTTCTGGTCTATAAACAGTCCCAAAACCACACTAAACGGGAACAAACAGCAAGAGAATTGCTTCCATCTACTGGAGCCAAAAAACAACTGACGAGTGAGCTCCTAATAAAAGGAGAGTGATATCATTTTTGATCAGATTATGCTTCTCTCCAGCAGCTGGTATGGAAAAGTAAATCTTTGGGCTGGTATAGAATGATGCTGGATAATTCAAAATGACTTAAAAGTATCCTTCTAGGCTTTCAAGGGCCTGGGATTTCTACCTGAGAAAGTGCAAAGTAGCTCTAGTTAGTTATTATAGAACATTTGCAGCCGATTCTGTAGCTGTTCCATGGAAAGTCTATGGAATTGAGCCCTTAATTCCTAACTGTCCATCCTGAGTAGACACAATATATTTTGTTTTTACTGGTGTTAACATTTGTATGTTAGGCTATTGGAGAGTCAGTATTTTTTGAATCATAAAAGGACAATAGCAGACCACTCCTTTCATCTTTGTAATCCCTTGTTACTATGCAGGCTTTATCCAGCTGTGATGATCTGTGGCTTTCCACGCCATGGTTAGTCAGGTTCCTGGCTCCAGAGCCTCCCAACCTATTTTGCTGGCCAGCAGCAGAAGCTATTTCCTTTGCTGAAGCAGAATGCTGCTGCAAAGATCTGCAAAGGGGAATAATAAGCTATCCACCCTCCTGTCTGCTTTTCTCCTGCAAAACTCCCAAACCACCTCCTCCATTTAAAAAAAAAAATCAACCTTATAAACCCTCAGTACTCTGGAAAAACTACAAGAATCTACATAAGGGTGCTTTTGGACATTCAAATTGGCCCTTCAGCATCCAAATGTCTATTTAGTTTCAGAATCTCAGACCTTGAGCCTATTCCCGTTGAAGTCACTGATAAAATTGTCATTGACTTGCAGAGGTACAACATTCGGCAAATGGCACAGCATTGGATACCCTAACTTAGGGACCCTGTTTTCAAACTTGAGGAACTGGTTATTAAAATAATTGGAAAAAGAGCTATAAACTCCTTCCCAAATTAGGTTACAATGTGCCATAAGTGGCATTCATTAGCAGAGGTCATCGCTGAATGATCTGAATTATGCCCTAAGATAAGGCCTAAAACATGTTTAAAGTACTTGCTTTTTTAGAATTTGTTAAATCTGAAGTAAAAAAGACCATCGTGTAGATTTCTCATCATGAGATATTACAATAACTAAACCACACATAAGATCTGATTATCTGTGTGCTTGGAAAACATGTTCCTTAAAAGCACTGGATTTTGAAATTTACTTTTACCTTTTCTTGGTCTAATTGTAAATTTCTCTGACTATAGCTACACAGAAAGAAAAGTTAACGTTACAGAACAGGAAATCACTCTGTGAGACAGTATTTCCTTGGTATGGGTAACACTTGCTTTTTGATACTGTGTTCTTAGGGTTGGCAGCAATTTTATTAAGCAATTTTATTTTCAAGAATAAAGAGCAAATTTAAAGCTGGGTTCTCTAAACCTTGTAGTGTGGTTGCACAGGAAATTGTCAGAGGAAATATAATGGAAAAAAAAAACCCCGTAGTATTTGTCTGTGTTTTGTTTATTTTACCATTTATAAAGTACTACTTGAACTGCACCTTGAATTTTATTATTTCTGTTTAAAAAAAACTCTAGGTGCAGAATTGTGTCTTCGTTATTAGCTGTAACAATGCTGTTAGTATTAACGTGTTCTGTCCGGTCTTTTTGTCTATTCATTCCAGAATGAAAATTAATCTGTTTAGCTAGAGGCTACATAGTTTACTGTCATTAGTTGGGGACAGTCAAAGATATGTGACTGTTTCAACTGCAGAGGAGCTTTGGGATTTTCATCTATTGCTGAGATCTTAATCAAATATGTTACTGAGAGTCCGTGAACACACTCTTGGGGGGGGGGGAACAGTATAACCCAAAGATTATTCAAGCTATTTTAATAAAAAATATATGTGTAATGTTTCATTTCTGCCTAAGTTTAATGTAATAAAGCACTGTAGAGGATATTAGTAAATTTTACACTTATAAATGGGATTAGAACTTGGCTAGTGCAAGAAAAGGCAGAAATGTTGAGCAATTTTAGGTCCTTCTCTCAAAAAAACAGACACACGTGCTTTGCTTTAAACTCTGTGACTTCTCAGTGTATAAAGTTAAGCATGTACAGAAGTCTCTCTAATCGGGACCTAAGAAGCCATGGCTTAGTTGTAACAGATGGTTGAGCCCCACCGCAGTAAGCAATGTTTTAAGAGACTGATCTTCCCATGGTGAGTGAAGAACACATGCACGCACACTACACGCTCTAACATTAATGGATGCTACATTGATGAATCTTCAGTGTTTCAGTGGGAAAATAGACCACTTTCAAGCCTATTCTATTTTTGTGGACAGCACTGGATTTCCATGCTGTCAATGTTACTGTTTTAATCAACATGAGATTTTTTGGTTGTTTTACTGAATATTAATTAAAACCATGTTTTAAAATGAATTAACTAAAAACTTTGTCTTTACTGGGTTTCTTTCAGAAAGAAAGCGAGGAAACATTTCCTTTTACAATACTATGTCTTCACACACACACGGTAAAATAGATTATTTTAAAATTACTGAGGCTACTGATTGGTACATAATGATCTAAACGTTATAAAAGAAAAAATATCTTAAAAAAACAAACAAACCCATCCTAATCACTCAGTGTAACCACAAAATTCAGCCCGACACCTGCAGAGGTCAGGCAAGGTTCCCTACCCCATCTCCCCAGTGTCTTCTGGTGGTTTTTTTTTTTTTTTCACATCTGCTTCCTCTGAAGCATCAGGGATGGCCATGGCTGGAGGTGGGACATTGGATAGAGAGGGCCAGGGCTTTGAGGTGGCACCAAGCATTCTCACTTTGAGGTGCTTGGCTGGCTAGTCCTTTTTCACATGCTCAGGGTCTGACTGATCACCATATATGGGGTTAGGAAGGAGTATTCCCCCAGATTAGATTGACAGTGACCTGGGAGGAGGGGTTGCCTTCCTCCACAGCATTGGGTGTAGATCACTTGCCAGGATTATCTGGGTATCTCTCATTTAATCATATCCCTGTCAGTGCAGGGACCTCAGGCCCTTGTCCTCCTCAGTCCCTCCTATTCTGTGCCCGTGGCCCATAATAGTCTAATCTCCAGTGAGCTGTAATATTTTGGCCTAATTTGGGTTGTTGGGTTTAGTGTGTGGGTGTTCGGTGCTGTTGGTGCCTGCGATATGCAAGAGGTCAGACTGGATGATCTGGTGGTCCCTTCTGTCCATAAGGTCTGTGACTCTAAAGGTTTATCCATGCAAAGGACCTAGAATGGAGATTTATGAAGAAGCGGTTTAGAAAACATAGGGGTCAGTTATATCACAGTCAGCGTAAAAAGTGTTAGCAAAGCACTAAGCTCCACTTCCCACATGTATACACACATTCAAAAGACACATGTTGTTTTATGTTGTGCATATCTTTATTTTAACGATAGCTGAGGACCAGATTCTTATCTCATTTTCCTCAGTGTAACTACAGAATAACTTAATCTGTTGAGTAGAGTTACTCTGGAGTTGCTGCAGTGTAACTGAGATCACCCTCCTGGCCCTGAGGCAGCAGTGCAGTTTCACAGAACTGTATTTTTGTAAAGATAAAGGACAGGCTGTGTTTTCAGAGGAATGTCTTGACAACAAAGTGCATCACTGAAGGCCACCTCACTCACAATGAAGGTCTGTATTTTAAAATAGCACTAAAACAAAATAACTGCTGTGTTTTGGCAAAGGTCTTAACTATTTACAGCACTACGTAAGAATAGTAAATAGTGCATCAGTACCCAGATTGCCCTAGCTGTAACCCCAAACCTGGAAGAAATACTATAATTACGTTTTTACATGTTTTTAAAACATAGTAGCCATTGTCAGTTTAAATATTCTGAAGCCCAGCCTGATACTGCCTTTTAAAAATGCAGAATTTTGATTTCCGACAGCTGCATTGGGTCTTAAATCATATATTATCTTTATGGAGCTTTTTGCTAACATATGTTAATTGGCTGTTTTCTATGACAAATTATGAACTCTTACTTTGATGAGGTTCAATTGCAATCATGTTGAAGTCGAATACGTAGAGTTTCCAGCCCCCGCTGGCTCCTCAAACCACTACAAACATCTGCACGTCACTGCAGTGCTGAGTAATGGCAGGATTTGGGTTGGTCTGATTTTTCTACAGATTTTTTTCCACAGGATATTTTCAGCTCTTTGCACTAAATCTGTTTCTGGGTTTGCCCTTTTTAGCAGAAGTATGTTCTAAAATTAACATCACGTCTTATATAAGATCATCAGAATACAATGAGAAATAATTTACAGCACAATACATTCAGAATCTGTTTTGATTGTACTGAAACTTGAGTGCAGTTGGTTGAAATGAAGGATCAGTCATTATTCATGCTCCATGTTACAGTTAACGTTTGTTGGGGTCATGTAGAATTTGTGGGAGCCTAAGTGATAACTGTGTTTAAAAGTCAGTATGTTTTATTTTCTGATCAATTGCGTTAGTAGATCAAGTGTTTGAGATTAGTTTTATTTTTAGAAAACTGGGAAGTACTGTATCTATTTTGTGATTTTTTTCACTAAGAAAATGGTGTTTCCCTTCTGGAGAGGAAACATATGTCTGATTATGTTTTGCATAACCTTTGCACATCTTCCTACCAGTAAACGAAAGATTGTATTGCAATTTCATTGTCTTTGTATCTCCTTCATGTCTAAGTGCTATTATGATTACATTTGTTAAGCATGTAATGAAAAGAATAACAAATAGAAAACACATTTTCCAGCATGGTTAATGAGTTAAAAGATATGGAACCAGTCTTTCTCTGAGCATTTTTTAGTTTTTACATACTACTGTGATGGCACAATCTGACAATACTATTAGTTTTTTATAACTCATTCATTACAAGCATTGCAACATACAGCATTTGTTGCATGATGATAAGTTATCATCCACAGTATGTAGAGAAATACAAGAATACATGTATTTAAATAGAGGGAAAGAAATGTAGTCATTAAGTGATTTGAACATCATCCTTTTAAAAACTGTGTCAAACAATGTCAATTGCATTGCAATTAATTTAGCAGAACATCACATGGTTCAGCCTTGACCTAAAGCAAATGGCTATAGATAAATCTGTCCTATTTCTTCTTCAAAGCAAAAGATGGGGGTTAAATTTCGAGGCAAGTGTTAGAGTTTAGAATAAGGAGAGCCAGATGTGAATAGAAGCTACTTCAGTCTCATGAGGCTGGTTATAATTCAGACCTTTCCCTGGGGTAGCACACAATCAATGAGTTCCAAATCCTGGGGCTACCTGCATTTATGTGAAGGCATGGGAACATTGCTTTACAACTGACAACTGAACATATGTGAAAAAATTAGAGCAGAAATTAAGGGTAAAAAAGGTTAATTTCAGAAGTTACTCATGAGCACCATGTTCCTTTGAAGCTGTTGGAATTAAGATGATTTCTGAGAGGAAAATATTGAAATGAGGAAAGTGTTTTTGTAAGAGCATTGTAAACAATCTAAAAATTATGCTATGGCTATTAAATAGCTTCCTCTAATCACTGTTGTTTAAACATATCCTGTGTTTTAAAGGAAGCAGTATGTAGGTCATATGCAGCACAAGTGACTACATTTATGGATTTCTCTTTGCTAGAATCTAAGTGAATTGAAACAGGGAAGACTTAGAAGGGGATGACTTCAGAATTGTTGTCAATACTTTAGTGTGTCTGCACTGTAAATTGATACATTGTATCTTGAGTTAGTCTACACAATAGCATTCAGTTCCACTTGATAGGACTAGCTTAATTGGCTTTAAGAAAATAAAGCAAGGTAAAGAAAGATGTACACGTGAAAGAGAGGACTTGGCATTTTATTGGATTTTGAGGCCTGTGAGCCATGTGTCTTAATTGGGGCCAGTTGGGATCAGTTAATAATTGCTGTCAGAAGATCAAATTTAATTCTCTTTATAAAAAGACCACAGTGGGACAGAGTTAAACAAATTGTCATCTGAGGTTTCAAATGAACAAAGCTTTAATTAGGTTGATAAGGATGCTGTAAGAGAGAGAGAGAGAGAGAGAGAAACAGGAAATTGATGAATGTGCTATGTACCATATTGGGCCATGTATGACAGTACTGTCAAATATCTTTATTTTGAGAGGATACATATTAACATATAGGATTATTTTGCTAGTATATGTATCTAAATGCTTTTGACAAATAATATAATTCAAAACTTTTTGATCTTAAACAATTGGGACTCGAGATTGTGACTATTAAACTTTTGCTATCTGCTTTAGCTTAGGGACCAGCTTCATATATTTGTGTACTTTCTCATTATCTGTGCCAGATGAAAATTGCAGAACCTATTTATTAATTATATTCAGCATATCTGTAGCTTATGACAAATATTCAAATTAACTAATTAGTCCTCAGAACACTTGTATAAGATAGGTAGGTATTAACCCCATTTTATGGATGGGGAAAATGAAAGCAAATTCCCAGATGACTTAATTTATTAGTGGCAGATGCAAGATTAGAAGTCAGGGGTGGCTGCCTTTCAACATTGGCAATGCTCTTCTATACTGTGCTGCCTTTCAGCTTTACTGCAGTTTTCTGTTTCTAAGACTATCTTATCAAAAATTACTTTGTATATCAATACATTTATAAAAGTGCTTTTTCTGATTAAACATAATGTACATTCAAGGCCACAAAAAAGATTAGCTAATGTATCTTTTTATTGATTTTGTTTTGTTTTTGTTCAGCTTACTCCTATGATGATAATAATGCTATGTTAACGATGATCCATTAAGAAAAAAATACTCTTTCCAGATGGAATGGAGATTAGTAACCAAGTGCAGTTTGTTTGCCAAGGATGAAATCCACAAAGGTACTTAGGTGCCTATATCCCATTTTTAGGCACCTCTGTGATCCACAAAACTCCTGCTTGGATGCAACCTAACCTCATAGGCCCCTAACCTTGCTCAGCACCCAAGTTTTTGCCTCTCAGCATGCATGCTGCAGCTTCATTCTAGGCTCCTGGGTACCTATTTCCCTCCTGAACCTGTGCACTGCTGCCTCGCGCTAGGCGTCCACCTAAGCCCCAGAGCAATTCTCAAAACGGGAATAGGCGTACAGCTGCCTTAATTTCATATGGGGATCTGATCCATTAGGTGAGCTCAAAGGCTGCCTATTGGGTCAGGTCCCTCCGGCGAGTTTACACAAAGTGGTGGGGGGGGGTGATGATTTCCCATATAATCTTTAGCACAGTGGTTACTGTACTCACCTAGGATCTGGTTCAAGTCCCCGGCCCCTCTCCCTCCCTGCTGGAGGGGTAGAATGAATTTAGGGATTAGGTGGTTCTCAGGTGTGTGCTTTACACACTGGGCTATGGGCTATTCTCATGTCGGGTTTCCCTCAGTCTTTCCACTATAATTAAATAAATAAATATTAATTGGGCAAGTGAAGGAATTAGAATGGCTCTGAGAGGCAACGGACCTCTCTTCAAATCCATTTTTCCCCTTGGAAGGAAGGGGGACTTGAACTGAATTTCTCCCACATCCTAGGTGAGTACTAAGCTACAGGTTATAAGGGAGGTTCTCCCTCCCTCTCGCGCCTTTTTGGGTGGGAGGGTCCAAAACATGACTTAGGTATCTGAACACCTATCTTCCCCCAATTCATGGATCATAAGCAGAGATAGGTGCTTAAATTCAGGGTACAGGGAGGCACCTATCTCCGAGAGAGGGATAGGGCTTAGCACAGACATCCTTCATTGGTGTGTCCCATTGGCTAGTTTAGGTGTCTCCCTGTCTAGTGGGCTGGCTTTGTGGATTGCAGTCTAAAGTGCCTCTCTCTCCCCTTTTGTTGTATATAAGCCTAGGTGCCTAGCTCAGGCTTTGTGGATCACAGTGTTGTTCCTGTGATTTTCTAGGTGTTGCAATGCCTAAGTCCCTTTGTAAGTCTGGGCCTAAAAGCAGTAACAACAAAGCAGCAAGATTTCCTTGTACAAATGAAGTGTATTTTGTATATCAATCTTCAGGTGATATTTGTCAGGGATGTTGACTTTTTGCATTAGATGTTGCCAAACATGCTTTGGGGGTGGGGGGGTGGGATGAGGGGGTGGAGGTTAAAAAAAGTAACCAGATGCATGTGCAATGGAGTGGTTACAGCTGGGGATCTGTAGACAGGCTGTGATGCTAGATAGTGGCTTTTATACTTGCAGACAATGTTGGGTTTACCTTTGTGGTAAACACCTTCTGAACCAGTAGTAGCTTCTTCAACCCTTGAGGTGAAAACTGCTAGACATCAGTTCTGTCTAGCACAGACACAGACAGGCTGTGATGCTAGATAGTGGCTTTTATACTTGCAGACAATGTTGGGTTTACCTTTGTGGTAAACACCTTCTGAACCAGTAGTAGCTTCTTCAACCCTTGAGGTGAAAACTGCTAGACATCAGTTCTGTGAAGAATTAGAAGAACAAATCATCATATGGAAAGTATAAATTAGTTACCTAATGTAATTCTCAAAGACTAAATAAGAACTATGATGTGCTTGAGCAGCATGCTAAATTAAGTGTTTGTTTGATGCCTTTTTAACTGATTCAGGATGGATCTTAGGTATCTAGAGTGTCTTTCTTTTAACCCTTTAGACTACTGAAGTGTAATAATCAATGTTCTGGATTGAGTTACTGAAGACAAATACATATGTCTTAAGCTTCTCCACCTCTGCCTCTCACCCACACACAGCTGCTGCTTGCTCCCGTCCTCCCCTCCAAAATACCCATAGCCCACACTTCCAATGCAAAGCACCAGAAGATGTCCCCACCCCAAAGCAGGCCAACATTCTCAGGCTGCTTGCCGACTGCTTCTTAGTTTCTTAGATCCATGTCTCTGCTTTCCCCCACTGCCAACGCCACACTGTTTTTCCCCCTCTTCTGGCATGATCTTTTGATGCATCTCTTCTTTGCTGGTACCCACACAGAGGGAGATATCAGGAGCTGCTGAAGGGGGAAGTGAGTCATGTCAGGAGGCCAGTCATACGGAGGAGCTAGGTAGCTTTGGAAGGTAAGGGATGGTGCAGGACTCACTCCACTAAATATACCTATTTATCCTGCCTCTCAGTAGCCAAAATCCTTCCTCCTTCTGGAACAGTACCCTGCTGGAACCTAAAAACCCAGGAGAAGAGGAAGATCCTGAATAACAGACACATGGAGAATAGCTCATGTCCTAAGGCTTAAATGGGATATCAAAATTATCACATGGTTATATTGGCATCACTGCATGAATTTGGCTTTTTGTTTTTTAAAGGAACAGACACATTGTGACTTCAGATGTTATTAAAATTGTGTATATTTCATCTGTTTAAAAGAGGTGTTCTATCCTAATTTCTGAGCTGCATAGTACAAAGAACCTGTTTCACAGACAAAAGCAGATTTCTCACCCCTATTTAACTAAGAGCTGGTGTTTTCAGAGCAGTATTTTGTATTAGCTTTATTAAATACCTGACATACCTTTCATCTCCTTTTGTCCTTGGAAAAAATATGTTAAAATGGGAATGGAAGTCTTAATGTAAAATTTTCAGCTGTTGTGGTTATTGGGAAGAAGGAGATAGTTGCCCTGTCATTTCTGCATTTTAATCCTCAGCTGTCTCCAGGCAGATAGTTGAGTTTGGAAAGCTTCATAGTTTTTATACCCCTGCTACGTTTGTCAAATTAACACTTCTGTGGAATAAACTATCAGGGCTGCGCACCATCTGCAATTTGTGATTTGCCTTGTTAATGACAATGATGATAGAATAAATGAACAGTTAGCATCTCAGCACACTATCCACCGTATTATGCAGACTACTTTATATTTTAGGAAGACCACAGTTTAATACCTGACATTAATAGTGGGATCAGGTACTATGGTCACCTCACCTTTGTCTCCTTTGTCTGTCTTGTCCTCGTCCATTTCTCCACAAACACAAGTCAACGGCACCCCAAGGTACTATGGTAAAAGACAAGTTTCTGGAGTTGAATACAAAGAAGAAAAGGGACAGTCTTCTGTTTGATTGTTCTCTGCTAAGAAAGGAAGTGCCACATATAAGATATGCCAGCAATGTTAGGTTGTAGGAACAAAATAACAAAAATATCTGGATGAAAGTTATGTCTTTTAGGTCTGTGCTGTAGGAAAACATTCCTTTTTCTATGAACAATCGTAGTTCTGGGTCTGATTCTTCTCTCACTTACACGAGTATAAATGAGAAGTAACTCCACAGAAATTAGTGGAGTTATGTTGTGTAAAACAAAAGTTAGGGAAGAATCAGGCCCTGGGAGATGACTCAGAGATATAGAAGATTCTATGTCTCTGTGTGGGGTTGGGGGTGGAGGAGCCATCTAAAGAAGATTTGTATTTGGTGCAAAAAATGATCTAATATAGCACCAAAATATGTTCATTAAGAGTCAGGCTTCTCAAGTGGAATGAGATAACTGCAAGTTATTATACAATATATATACTATACAGGAACCATATTGTGCCCCTGTGGAGAAATACCAATGGAGGGGCAAGGAAACTGTGCATTGACCCTTGAGGACCCCATTGTGGGTGCAGGATTTGCCCTTCCATGGAAGAAAGCAGGGGTTCTTGCTTATGAACCCCCTGGATCTCCCAAGGTTTGCTCAGATTTTGAGGATCCTCTCAGGTACCAGGTCTCTGCCATCTCCCCGTTTCCCTAGCAGCACAGTTTCAGTGCAGCCACTGTGATAGAAACTCCCCAGACAGTGCCAACCGTGAGACACCTCTTTAGGGGGTTCATCAGTACAGTGCATGTGCATCAGTAATGTTAATACAGTCCTAGACTGTCTCACCTCTATCCTACCATTCCAACAAATGTCCTGTTCATCCCATCTCCCTCCAGTTGCAGATTATTGGATTCACACAGAGCCCCTGCACAGGATCTAGGGGAAAGGAACATAATTGCTACAGAGATGGCTACCACTGAACCCCTGATCTCTTTCTGCACGGAGAAGAGAGATCCACAATTTGAGAGTCCCATTCTCATGCCAATCCTTATAACACAATCTGTCCCTAAATTTAGAAACTTGCTGCGCTACTTGTAGGCTGGGCTCATTAGGCGGTGTATCGACATAGATTAGTTTAGGCCAGACTCCAGATTTAATATTACCTGCAACCTGTTTTCAAATGTTTTCAGCCCCAAATGGCAGCAGTTTCACAGTACCTGTACTAGTTCCTCTCATGCTGTTTTCACCATTTTGGGCTCAAATCCTATCAGAGTGAGATGAAAATGAACATCTAATCTCATATGATTTCAGCAACACCCACACTGGAACGTGAAAATAGACCCCTTCCAGTTTGGCATCTGACTTGGAACAAAATCATGGGGAGCAGTTTAGATCCAGGGATCAAAAATCACCTCAAACATTTGAAAGGGTCAGAGTCAAAGTTCTGGCTTTGCCCTTCTCTAGTTCCCAGGTAGCTTGGTGATGATGTGTTCCATCATTTTTAGAACTTGGGAAGTGAGACTGTATTATGAACTCTTGACTAGACAAGCTCTAAAACAGTATTGATCAGGAAGAAAGCAGCTCAGCTTCCCTCTCAGCTAGAGCAATAATGCAACAAAAATATAAGGGATAAGGAGTCCAAAGTGAAATGGAGGGATTTTCCAGGCAACATGGCTATATTCAGGAACACATCAGACATGCAGTCAGACATCAATAAGAATAATAACTAGGCTGTTTCTTTTGAAGTGGAGACTGTTGAAAATAAAGTAGACAGGTTCTGCTCCCCCTTAAAATAAATAAATAAATAGAGAAAATATTAATTAGGTAAGAAATATTATAAATTCAGCAGGTACCTTCAAAGTCAGTAGTAAAATTAGTAAAATCAGCATATCTAGATAAATGATTAAAGTTTTCTCTTAAAATGATAATGAATCATCTAAATATGAGAGAGAATTGATTTTGCAGCTGGTGACCCTGTGGCTATTTTGCCATTTACTGAATGCACAGCCAGCATTCTGTAGTTTACTTTTTGTTAAAAATTATGCCAGCTTTTAGAAAAACAATGTGTAAAGGATATGTTAAAACTGGTTAAGTTTTACTTTACAAAAGACATTTTACCTCAGATAAGATAAACAAATGAAAGGATCAATAGAATTCTTGCACTCACTAGTCCATGCATCATGTTTAATGTTTTTTCAGTATTACATGTGCTAGCTTCAGTAGTCTATATTTGTATGTTATGACTCTGCTATGATTTAAAGTTTGTCCTATGCTTTCTGTAGAAAAATGCACTCTCTCCTGAGATAAATTTAGCAGATTAGAATGAATTCCCTCCCACAACTTTTAATGTGGTATTCTGACCATAAGATCAAAACACATAAATGTAGGTTATGTTCAATTTCAAAATCAGAGTGTTGTGGACAGCTGTTTGAAATCTTAAAATGACTCATTCATTTGTTGCATGGCTTCTTGCCCAAATGAACCATATAGTAGAGTGCACTATTTCTGTATCACAGTTATATTGCAACAATGATGACATGAAATATGTAAATCTGTTATAAAAAGTTGCTGTTAATCAGCCAGATTCTGCCCTCAGTTACGCTCACTCACGCTACAATCACATATAATCTTAAGGGCCAAATTTACCACTGGTGATATCTCTGTTGACCTCGGTAGAATTATATCAGAGACAAATTTGACCGAATGAGATTGCTCAGTGAAGAATTTGGCCCAGTGACTTTTGCCCTTGTTCTATATTTATTGCAATACTAAACAGTACAGGGTGGGGGATTCAAAACCATCTTTATTTGGTCCCATGAATCTCTTTTTAAAATAGGATAGCTCTTTTTATCTGTACATTGTGCCTGATCATCCAGTCCTTGTTCAGGTAAAATTTCAGTGGGAGTTTTGTTTGAGTAAGGACTGGGGATTAACTGTTGGGTGTTTTTTTTTTGTTGTTGTTTTTTGGGGGGCTCATTATTTTAATTAAAGAAAACAAAATTTTCTCTGACACATCATTTTCAGCATTATCGGTATATTTAGCTCTTTCTTTAGGGCCTGATGGAAAGCTTATAAATTATGTCAATGTAAAGACTCCAATTGATTGCAGTGGACTTTTGGATCAGGCCTTTATCTGTCAAGGTAAAGGATTTTTTTTTACAGCATTTCTCATTTCTTTACATTTTTTGATAATATACAGGCTGTTCTGGGATTTTTTTTTATTTTAAATCTAATAAGCCTACTAAAGAAGCCTGCTGCCTAGCAAAAGAGAAAAATCTTTATGGCAGGTCTGTTTCTTTTGTAATGAAATCATGAAAACTTTAATCAGTGACACATTTTAGCTAAGTTTTTCAGGGGTCACCTTGTTTATAAATTAACTATTTTGATTCTCTTATTTAGATACTCCTTACTATCCTTTCTGTGAGTTGTTCAAAGAACTCTGTCTGGGGTGTTGCAGCAGTACAGATTCAGACAGTACTGTTCGGAGAAGGAAGTGGAGAGTTTTGGTTCCCATTTTGCACTTCTGGAACAGTTTAGGGAAGGAAGCACCTTTACACCTTTTATTGTTCGTGGTTGCTGACATCATATCCTTCCCTGACCACTCTGTGCGTGTTTCCTGCCATTCTATCAAGATTCTTCTGTGTTGCAGGGAGAGAAGGGGAGAGTTTTTGTGTGTGTGTGTGTGTGTGTGTGTGTGTGAGAGAGAGAGAGAGAGAGAGAGAGAGAATGAGAGGGGGGAGTGGTTGCTGATCTGCAGCATTTGTCCTTTACAACTTATTCCTTTTTTTGAGGCTCAAATCACTCTTCCATCAGCTATCTCTGCCTGTGCTAAATCATAAAGTGAACAGAAGCCCGCCAAAATGAAGTTCCTCTTTTTAGTAAGCAGTCTGATTTTTTATGTTTGGGTTTGCAAAAAAGAGAGAAAAAATGCTGAAGACTGTAACTCCACAGGATTTAACTATGACATTTTTTTTAAATGCAGATTGTTTACATGTAACTATGTCACTACATTGGAAGTTTTCTTTTATGTGGAAAGTTATTTCAGCGAGGCTTCTGGAATTATTTTAAGTCCCTTTGGGTAATGAAAGCCTGCAGGACTAGCTTGAGTTTTGTACTACTTGCAAGTTTTCTACTTAGTGTGCTTTATTTGCATTTGGAAAATGTAATTTGATCAGTGAACAGGAACTTCAAAAATTTAATACCATAAACTGTATTCCTGCAGGAATATCCAAAAAGTATCATGAGCATTACTGAAATTCCTAGAGCAGGTGAAGGGCAATTGATAATATCCATAATTCTTTGCATTCTGGTTGACACAAAAGTTGTCAGTCCTTTGAAAGTTATGACCCATGAATCAGATATACTGATTTACTCATCTCAAGATACATTATATTTCATCCAAATAGTTGCTTTTATATATGTTTGGTGTGGGGGGGAGGGGGGTGTACAGACACTCATATGTGAAATATACAGTTTAGAACTATATATGTGTATGTTGCTATATATTTATATGTATGTATATAAATATAGAGACAGATGCACAAAATACCAGATATCATAATTTATTTGTATTTGAAATAAAAATAACAAATTATAGAAAGGCAAGAAATTCACTAAACAAGATCAATCATTTTTATTTGTCATTAGGTGAGTAAACAAAAAGCAATCAGGAGAGTAAACAAAAAGCACCTTCAGGTGAATTCAGTAAAAGGTAACCTGTTGCCTTTAGGTAACACTTCTTGCATTTCTGTGTAATTTTGAGATAGATATCTATGTATGGGATCCCATTAATTTCTTCTCCCTCCGACATCCTGTAAATAATGCGCTACCTTCCGCATTTGTTTTTTCTTCCTAATAGATTGTTTCTTCAAACTATGGGACAAATTTTGCTCTGAGTTACACTAATATAAATTTGGTGTAGTCAGTGAATTTGACATCCATGTAACTGAGGGCAGAATTTGGCCCCAAAAGCATTGTGTGACTATTTTAAGAATAGTTAGTTGTGCCATTGAGTATTAAGAGTTCCGTACTCTGAGCTATCTATAAAAGTTTTTGTTATTTGAAAGATTGGTGTGAAATGTGGAACTGATAACTGTTTGGGAGAGGGGCTCACCATATTGTTATTTCACCAGGAGCTGGCTGTGCTCTTCCGAGTAGATTTTCAACATTCACTCTTTTTTCTGCACTCATTCAGCTTCAGAATCTTGATCTGTAAAGCAGCTCTCATCCTTGCTAACCCTGTCACCACTTTTCTAATCTGTCCACCCTGACCTTCCACCTTGAAGTGACTAAGAGCTTAGGCAGGCGTAGTGCTGTAAGCCGATAGTGCCACCAGCTTCAGTTGAATGAAAGGAAAGGAAATTGTTCCATATGCATTTGCTATGGATTAGTGTATTGGCTTACTGTTACAGAGAAAGCCTGTTAGACTCCTTTGGGTCCTGCATGTGCATGGGAAACACCACTTTAACTTGCTCTTTGTATCGGAGGTAAGACTATAGGAAAAACAGGAAAGAAACCCAGTCCAAGGAAATTTAAGACCGTTTCTAAAAATAGCCTAGGTTTGTTTGTCAACAGTGAATATCAGATGGGACTATGGCTCCTAGATTTGTTTAGAAAAAAGTTTGTATAAATACATTTTAAATAATTTGTTTTAATTTACTGTTTGGCACATCTAGTTTTTTATGGTTAATATGGTCTGGTGACTGTCATTTTAAGTAGTAAAAAGATTGCTGAACTGTTTCCAATGGGCAAAAAAGCTGCAGAAATACTTGTGCACTTTATTTTGATGGCATCACAAATTACTCCATCTTGCATGCCATATACTGTAAAATAATATTGATTAGCGATATACAAAGGCATTCAGGTATAGACAATATTAGGATCTAAACCTTGTTTAATCCAGCAGAATTGATTATATCATAATAGCTAGTTAAAAAATTATAATCAGCTGATTATCTTTTACGTATGATCTCAACTCTTCTTAAGGTGATAAAATACTGAACAGCTTCAAATTAAATAAATACAAAGAAAATCAAGAGAGAATTGAAGATCAGACAGAGTGATGTCCAGCTTTTCTACCTCAGTAGCTTTGAATCAGAGCCAAATAATGGATTTAATGGCCAGGACATCGGCTTAGTGTTACATAACATATTGGGGGAATTTATCAAGTTGGCTGTGAGAGCACCGGCTTAAAATAAACAAGAAAACTCCAATTTGTTGTAAAATTGGTAAATTTGGACGAAGGAAGAAATACTTTTAGTATAACGGAACTGAGGTAAAAGTGGTGATGCACTGATCATTTTTTATTGAATCCTTTTTAGATTGCGGGATTTTTTTTTTTTTTGAAGTGTTTACAAATACTCTGTGCTGTCACACTCAGCTAATAATTATGGTAAATCTTAGGGGTGAGAAGAGACAAAAGGAATATTTATATTATATGAATTTTATTGCCAGATTTAACATAATTTGTGTATGAACTTTTCCAAAAGTTTTTCTTGTCTTTTGTTTTGTTTGGTTAAATAATGTTTTGCAAGACTTTAGAATTACTCCTGAAGTTTATGGCATTTTATGGAATATTTTCTGTTATTTTGTCATGTATTTATCTGTTTACTCTAACAGTATTTAATTGTATAATGCAACTAGTTTTTGTAAAGTGCAGAGGACTAATATGTGGGCTTGTTGTCAGAAATGTGAAAATACTAATTCAAAACATTCTTTACTGAGCAACTCTTCCTATTATTCTGTTCTGCATAGATGAAATACCTTATGCAAATATTCTTGAATGGAAAAAATCACGTTAGCTAGTTATGTACCTGTGGTATAGATAGTTTAGAACATACTTTGAAATGTAGTGGGATAAAGAAGTACTACTTTTCTTTTAAAGTATTTTAAGTAGTACTTGAATTAACTGTATGTTTTTTTAAAGAATGAGATTAAAGGGTTTAGATTTAAACTAGCTGACATTTCTCATATATCGAATAGCACTTTAATAATGGTCCATCCTATTTGCATAATGAGGGGCATTATCACCTCTGCTGTCAAAACACAAGATTGTTTTCCCTTCAGGAATGAATTAGCTGGCCTACTTAGCATACACAGGTACAGAAAGGTTCGTTAACTCTCTTATTTAGGTAATTTTTCATATTAGCACAATGAATGATATTTTTAAAATAGAGATACCTAAATCCATGAAAATTATGGAGACATGCATTTCAGTCATCTTAATCATTTCTTGAAAGATTTGTGGGATCATGTATAACTATGAAAATAAACTTTCAGGTTACTACTATTAATATTGTCTTATTTACTTTATAACTGCAAAATAATTTGCTTGTGCACTAGATTATAATTAAGGCACTTGGTAAACTCCCTGTGGTAACTTTTATCTGTCTAGCTGGCAGTTTTTATCAGTTTTATAGTAAGAGTTTATGTCTTTTGTGTGCTTAGCAGGAACGGATGCAGGGGTCTGTGAACTGAGTAGTGCAAGTGCTGAAGAGGGAGATTTGTTTTGAGGAAACGGGAAAGAGGAAGAAAAGAGAAGGAAAAAATACATAATTCCAGGGACGAGAGAGAGAAGAAAAACGGGGACTATGGGGAGAAAAAAGATTCAGATCACAAGGATTATGGATGAACGTAACAGACAGGTGAGTAGCAAAAATTACTGCTTGTATTGGAGCTTCATCTTATAGTATCTTGTTGGTGTGGCTTACACGAGGCAGTGATAATAAAGAAGATAAAGATTTTTAGAAATATTTTTACCTTGTGTTACACAATATATGAGTAAATGAATATTTAAGGTGCTTTTGGAAACATCAAGATGTCTGACTTGTATATTTTAAAAGTTTATTAATATGTTACAGTTTGGGGTTTGGAGACATAGGCCCTGATCCTGCAAAGACTTATGTACATGCTTAACTGTACACACACTAGGAGCAGTCCCATTGACTCATGCACAACGCATAAAGTTAAGCATGACTGCAAATCTTTGCAGGATCCAGGCCATAGCACCTAATCCTGCAAACCTTTATACACATGAACAACTTTATTTGCATGAGGAGTCGCACTGAACTCAGTGAAACACCTCACATGAGTAAAATGATTCATGTATGTGCATTTTGGCACAACTGAGTTCTTATCTATGGTACAGGAAAGTACTTGTTCATATATGTTGAAGTCTTTGCTGCTTGTGTGTTGGACATGGATTTTGAAAGGGATCTGCACATCATAATGTGGCTTAATAATCAAGACCTAATAATGCTGGTATGTTGCATGCACCATGAAACAAAGAGTCTATACTGATACTGGCTGGAAATAAGTCTTCCGGGGTCAGTCACCTCTTTTTTTTTTTCTTTTTTAATGTGCTGGACACTCTGATACCAAATATTAACAGCAGTACATCCTCTGGTTAAATGTGATCATAAGCCAAATTAATGTTTCTCTATTTTAAGAAAAATAAAAGTCTCACTATTCAGTGTCCTGAATTAAAATCTGTCAATGTATACTTAATTTGTACCTGAGATATTGTACTAAGATTTGAGGCACACAAATACAGAAATAAGATACATAACATTATTGAACAGTATTACTAGTTGCCTATTAAGAGTGTGGCTACAGTTTAGGATTACCCTAGTGTAATTATTTTCTATACCTCAAAAAGCATTTAGTATTCAGTTAATTTTAATACACTAATTACATGTACTTGATGTATTATTTTCTTTGTATATGCAAATTTGTATTATAGGAAATTATTATGTTGTCTTTAGGGCTTAAAGTCTCATAATACCATCCAGAAGCAACCCAGTAGAGGAATGATCTAAAATTTTTGTTTTCAAGCGTGTCTTCCATTGAATTTGTAAGCGCTGTAGTATGAGCATGTCTTGTACTCTCCGTGGCAGAAAATCGAGTTTAAAAAGCAAACAATGCTAGGATTTATGATGGATACAGTCTGTGTTTTCCCTACAGGTTGCTTATTGCTGTGGGCCAAGCCAGAAAGCAATAATTCTGTCAATATAAAACCACCATATTTGTTTTAATTGGTCTGTAGCTTGAAATTGAAATTAAAGTTGAAATATTGAACTGGATGTGTCATTAACCATTTAGACACTGGCTGTTCTGGCCAATACCATGTTAACACAATTTCTTCCAAAGCATGTCTAAATTAACATGTTGTAAATAAAGCTACATAATTTTGCCATTAGTAACATTTATTTATACTGTAGCTTTAGTATCCACTTTCATGCGTTCATAGAAGAAGCCAATAGAGGACTTCATTCTCCAATGCTGTCAATCTTGCACCTTTCATGAGGAGTAAATTTACTTAAAAAATAAATAATACAGATCTTTAAATCATTTACTGTAGCACTCCAAGATTTTTAACACCAGTTCTCAAAATTAGTAATATCTAAAAGCCTTTCTTTGATTCATATACTGTATATTTCATCAGCAATCTTGCAGCCACTCTTAGTCATAACATTGGAAGACTAATAGCTATAGCATTACTACGTTACTATAGAAATGGTTTATTTTTCAAGTGTTTGGTTATTTTCGTAATTTTGGTAAACCAGATTTAATAACAAATCTGGAAGGATAATTGTACCATCCTTTAGCTGCCACACACTATAAGTGGCTTCATGCTGCTGCCTCATTTCTAATAACATTTTGAAAACTCCATTAGTAAACTGTTTCTATTGGTTTTTCTCCTTTGTACATTTAGGGCCTGATCCAGAGCCCAGGTAAGTCAGTGAAAAGATTTCTGTTGACTTCAGTGGGCTTTGGATCAAGCAGCTGAAGTCCAGCTGTACTGCTAGCAATTCAGTATGACTGGATTTTCACTGGCTTTGCTGATTGTTCTTTTAAAATTTTGAACAGGAAGTAGTACTTCACAAACATGGGTATTTGTTAAAATATTTCACATCCTGTCAGCTGTTGCTCCTTCTGAGCACAGTTTCATCACTGAATTTGTTTTCTAATGTATACATTTGTGCATTATGTTTTTTTTAAGTCTTCTATGTATTGATTTCTAATATTACATTATATTTGTGAAAACAGATGAACCAAATTAATTTGGATGCACAGAACAGGGAATTCATAAACTGTAAGAAGTTTTTTAATATTCATTTTTTTAAAGTCCCAGTTAGAGCCATTTTTGTAAACCTTAGTCCTGCAAGTAGTCCCATATTCTAGTCTAATGAGACTACTACTGCATGAGTGAGGACTGTTCACCTACTTTATGGGTTTGGGCTCTTAGCCCGTTCCCATCATAAGGAAAGGTTTTCACAAGGGACACAGAACAAAACCAAATCTGTTTATCTGAACCTGTCATACAGTCATTCGTATTGAAATTTTCAGTGTAGTTCTTCTGAGCAAGGAGGGTTGGATGCAGAGGGTGGGGGAGTGTGCTGCATGTGGAGTGTTCATCCCATGTGCAGATCATGCTGTGCCTGAATTCTCTGCAGGGCAGCACATAATGCATGGGAAGGTGTGAGGCATGTATCAGGGCCAGAAGACCCAGTGATATACAGATCTTCCAATCCTCTCCCCACAGCGGGGATGGAATACCTTCAGCAGAAGGACACTGCAGTTGGTCCATGGCCTGGAGAAAGTGATTCCTCTCCACTGTCCCCCACACATTTACCATGCCTGATTAATCAGGTGGAACATTGAGCTGTGGATTTACCCCGTTGTGATAGAGATGGCAATTGTTTGTTTAACAGATTACTACTCGCTGTAGTAGAAGTCTCTTGTGCTGTGAAGAGCGCTTGTATGAGCAGCTTGCAAGAGGCAAAAATAGTGGTGTCTTCTAGCAGTAAAAGAGTATCTCTTTCTAAAAAGAGTTATCTCAATGGATATACTTGGGTACTTGGTTGCTAATCTGACATTAAATGGAAAAATAAACCCTCAAATTAAAACGGGTGCAAAAGAATCATGTTATAAGCAGCCAGTGTGATCAGCACCTTTCGTCATTAAATGTTTGATAACAGATTCTAGATAAATATTGAGGGAATGAGAAATGCTCAGGAGTGCTGTTAACAGACATGTGTTTCCAGCTGCAAAGGCGGAGAGAAGTGTAACATGGGTATATGATCTGTGCTTTTCTTGAAACAATGAAATCTTTGAATAGTTCAAGAAAAATGAATACAAATTACACAGAGGCCTGATCTTGAACTATTGCAGTCAATGGGAGTTTTGCCATTGACTTCAATGAAGGCCAGCTCAAGTCCTGTAATCATGGGGAAGCATTCATGGAATTTTGTTTGATGGATGCTGGCAGGGGGCCAGGTTCTGGTTGGCCCTCACATTGGTGCACGGTGAGAGAAGGAGAGTACAACAAGTCTTCTCCTTTCCTGGATGGCCCCAGATCCATCCATCCCAGTTAGAGAACCCATTGCATTTGGCCCAGGCCATTTCTCATAAGCCTTTTCACTGCACTTTAGACCACAGAGAGGAAGAATAAAAATACCTCGCAGCCTCATGTTAATGGCAGGTGGTTGGAACTCTGCTGTGGACTTGCAGCTATAGCAATCCTAGCAACTGGGAGGCCAATAAGGGTTATCTGCATGCTCAGATTCTGTGGCACCATCAATTGAGGTGGTAGCCAGCAATATCAGCCTTGTCCTCTGACCTTGGACCATAAGTTCCAACAGAGACTAGCCAGCAAATCAGCTTGTTGAGGGTTGTCAAGATGAGGGCTAGAAAAGTGGGGGGAGGAGGAATTTGCAAAAACATAGACATTTTTTCAGTTTTAATGTTTGTTTATTTCAAAGTTAAAAAAACTCAGTCAGCTCTACAGTTGAGTGTAATATGGGAGGCAAGAGGTATTTTCCAAAAATTTTGTTTAAATTTCCCCTCATTTATTTTTCAAATTTTGAAATTTGAAACATTTCAACCAGTCCTAGCGAGGGCCATTTCCAGTTGCACTGGTGTCCCATAGAGAAAGGTGATTTTTTTTGGGGGTGGGGGTGGGGGGGGAGAGCTCCAGAAATTCCCTTTACACTACCCAGACAAGGCAGGCCAGGCTTAAAGGGATGGCTTTCGTACCATAATTATGTTATACTACTGTTATAATAGGACATTTTGCGATACCTAATCAGAGTGCACATTGATTCAAAAATACTCTGGTGTCAGATTTTGAACAGCTTCCAAGACCTTGCTGTCTGTCTCCATCATTTTTTCTTATTATTAAGAGTCTAACTCTGCTGGACTTCACTGTGACAACTTGTGTGACTGGGACAAAAAGGATTTGGCCTTAAATGTGGTGTGATGATTTTCATGCCTGCAGTCTTCTTTCTGATGTTTTACATTTCTTTATTTTCCTAGTTGTGAAGCATACTCTTATCCACATTCCTAATTTTAAGTGTGCTCTGCTTAGCTAATAACTCTGCACGTTTTGCTTGAAACATCTTCAGTTTTGTTATGAGCTGGGGAGGGGGGGTATGTAGAGGACTGTCAAATACTGTAGGAAATACGTACTCAGATAATAGACACTCTAAGTAGTATGGCTCTGTAGCTGGTTTGAAAACAATATTAGAGGCACTTGGAAAACACGTGCAGAGCAACTTTTGCATATGTACGATTTGATAATTCTTTGCTCCCAGCACATGTGTGAAATTAGGTAAAACAAGACTTGCTACAGTTATCAACTGAACAGAGAACAAATAAAATCAGATAAGCAAAGTGAGGTTATAGGGCAGGGAAGAATATCCTGGAGGGAAATGTCCGTTTGCAGGAAGACCTAGATTTGTTCTACTGACTCCAATACCTCATGCGGCTAGTTTCAAAACTAGTTTCAGACTTAGGAGCATCTATTTTTATCTGCATTAGCTCTGTTGAAAAGAACAGACTACAAGATCGTCACCTCAATCAGAACGTCATCTGTAGAAGCAGAAAAGGGAGCCTGATGATGTAGTGCACAGATCAGCTCAAATTTAGGAGGACATTTTGTGAGATTTTCCCCACACCACCTCTACCAAAAAAAAAAATTCAGTCTGCTCTCACAAGTTAGCTTGGCTTTAGTCTAGTTTTGAGATTTTAGGAGGTTGGTGGGTTGCCCACCAATTACAGCGCTTTATGAAGGGAATATCTCGATAACATTTAATTGTGCAGCTCTACACCACTCTTTTCAATGAGATGTACCTTAAAACCATGATGTAGCCTTTAATTTGTACAAGCCTGATTTGCCACCCTTACTCACATTAAGTAGTAATTTACATCATCCGTAATGGCACTGGAATAGATTGTCCCTGTTAAGCACAATATCTAGTTTTATCAGAGAGGCTACCTCAACATTTCTCTCTCTTTAACTAACAGAAGATGTACACTACATTTTAGTGACCAAGTTCCCAAATTTTAATGGCCCAATTGGGCCTGATTCCATTTTAATCTAAAATCATTTCATATTGTACTAATCTAATTGAGATTCCATACATGGTAGAGAAAATGTTTTAAAAGCGATGCTAACCTAATAATGAATTTCATGGCTGTATTATATTTAAGATTAGGTATGTTTGTATTTCCAATATATGCCAGAGTATAATTTAAAATTAATTAGCTTCAGGTAAATATTTAGGCCAAATTACTTTTAATGTGAAGTATGAATGAGCAGCCTAAGTAAGGATAGTCCAATAGTAATTATGGTATCATTAAACATAGCTGTGTTGAAAACTAGAGCAGATATGGCCACTGCCTTTCTGTCTTGTAAGGATTGATTTGGAAGGCCCTGAGGGAGAAAGAGCTGGAGGTGGGAAGCAGAACTGAAGCCATTGTGGAGAGGAAGAAGTTACACTCTTCCTGTTATGACAGGAAATGCAGACAAATGTGCTTCCTGACCATTTGCTCAGCAGGGAATGAAATATTCTTTGACCTTTACCTTATGAACATTTTAGTTTTGTTCAGCTAGTAAACATGTTTTTTATCCAAAACATTTATTTGTACCTGCCAGACCTAGTGAATGTGGTATAGATAAAAAGTCAGTTTTATTGTACTTTATATTATCTAGAGTATGTGTATGGATGGAAAGGATATATTTTCTTACAAATAAGATGCCTATGTCTATACATCTAGATATAAGTGAGTTAATTCAATCTGTCCTAATGAGTGAAGAGGAATGGTATAACTGAGATTAACCATCATTATGCATATCATTCAACAGAGAAAAAAAATAATATCCAATCATTCTTCAAGTCTGAATATGATATAGGTTATGTTTTGGAGAATTAGAACTGTTTAGAATATATGGGAATAAAAGACTCTGAATGTTGCCTACCCTAATAATTTGTGAGTTGCTATACCATCCATTAATTAACATATCTCTGAGTTATCCCTCTCTCTTTATTCATAAAGACAAATGTCATAACAGAGATCAGCGATTATGTACTTAAATTTAGGACTTGTGAAAAAGTGAATAATCTCACAGTTTTGTTTAATTTTCTGCTCCATTATTTGTGTGCTGATACGCTAACCATAAAGTGTAATGAAAAAGTACAGCACCTTCGTTTTTGTAAAGCTTAATCATGAGATGCTGAAAGAACCCTGTTTTATAAGATAGGGCCATTTAATATATTACAGTCATAATTTTAGGTCATTCTACTTAAAGCTCCTCTTTAGTAATGCTGTTCAGCAAGTCATGGCTCAGTATGCTTGAGGCTGTCAAGCACAATAGTTCTTTTTGCAGCATAACTCACTGCTGTGTCATCCCTATAAGTTATGCTGGAGGGTTACAAGAACATAGAGCAGGCTGCTGAAGAGTCCCTTACTGCTCTTTAAAGGGCCTTTCATTTAATATGGCATGCCTAGTCGTTGTTGCATAAAGGAGGGTTTGTCTAGAGGGAATCCTGCACTGGTGCTACTTCCCACTGCCACCACCGCTGAACATAGTCATAAAGTTTGTTGCAGGAGAGCCTTTTAAAATGACAAACTGAGCTAAGCAGAATAAAATAGACGGGAGAGTCAGGGGTGGGAATAGAAAGGGGGTTGCAGCTTTTGAAGAGCTTTCGGGGTTTGGCTATAAGATAAGTAGAGATAAGTGTCTGCTCCTGGCACTTTAGTCAAAAGTCATATGGCTCATACATGGCCATCTTGATTTTATGATGATGAGCGTACTTCATTTGATGCATCCTGTTTGCCAGATACCCCATATCAGCTGACCCCACTCTGAATGAGGAGGGACAACCAGCACAACACTCCCCAATAGCCAGGTACAAGGTATACATCAAATATTGGATGCATGAGCCACCTCCAGTTTCCCCAGGCCCTCACATTAACATATACATAATGTCAGGAAATGTGTGGGGGTGGGGGTTCAGACTCCCCGCTCTTCTCCTCCTTTCAGTGCCAGCACCTGCACAGCCTTATGTCAGGACAGGAAGAGGTGAGGGAAGACCTGACATACTGTCCAAGGATTGGTTTGCTGCTGGAGGGCAGGGCAGAGCACTGGCTGCTGTTTGGAAAACAGAAAAAGCAAGCCGTAGACTCTGTGGTCCCCAGTGACAGATACTGAGTACCAGTGATGGCACCGCTATTACAGGACAGTCACTCAAAATTAGTCTCTCAGATTATCTCAGATTTAAAAGTCAAGAGTGGAAGAGTCCAAAGGGAAAAAAAATGTAGCATCCGTGCAGCAGAGACAGGTCACAGACTAAATCAGCAGAATAAAAGCTTCAACCTCTCAGCAGTGACTCCTGCTCTTACACTGTTCCAGTCACATCTACAAGCTGCACAACAATTTTGGTATAATTTTAGATAAATAAAAACAATTTCCAGTCGATTGCTGTTTCTTTCTGTTATCACAGTCTGTTAGTATAGTGTCTTGAGTGGAAAAAGCATACGTACCCATTGTATTATTCATTCCAGTATGTGAAAGGACCTATATAGAAAACCAACTAACCTATCTCCTAATGTATTTAATTTAAATAAACATTACTCCCTACAAATAAAATGCCAAATTCTGGCACCATGCCAAATTACCTTCCTAGTGAGAGCATATTGCAGCTATGGAGTACTGTGAATGTACACCTGCATTCTGGGTGGCTACAGCCCCATTCACAAATATCACAGTCTCTGATCCCAAAACCATGTCTCGGAAAGCCCCTTCACAGCTTTGACCATAGAAAGCCTGGAGAATTGTCTTTCTGTAGTTTGGAGGAGAGCCAGAATTGAAGATGGAAAATGTCCTCCCAAATCGCCTTTGGTCCATGCTTTCCTTCTTGTGCATATAGTAAGTTTAACCTCTAGCCAGAATCTGGTCCAAAATGCACAAAGACCTAGCCTTGATTTATGAGAGGGAAGCTAAGAACTGGCTTTTTCACTCTTTCTTTTGTTTTTGTAATATTTAAAACAAGCGTGTGGTTTGCTCAAAGCCTGGACAATCATCTTTGCATTTAAACTTCCTTGCTTTACTTACCCAAGTACTGCAGACTTTCAGGGCCTGATCATCTGAGGTGCTGGGCATCACGATTGTGTTCGGTGAACATTCATGGGCTCATCAGCTCTGAATAGCAGGCTCTAAATGAATAAAGCAAGCTGTATTCAGAGCTTATGTAGAACACATGCAACTTGATTAATTTTCAGCTTGCTGCACAAGTACATACTCCATTCCCTGCACACTCCACTGGAAATGTTGTCTTTGAAACACTGCTTGGCCACACTAGTTACCCAGTACTTATACTGTACTTTTGAAAACTTAAAAATACTGACAATTGCTTTTCTATTGTATGGCTTATGTATTTTGTGTGTGAGAGGCTTCAGGGTTTTAAACACAGGTAAAAGCCAACCTCCTGATTCTAGGCAGCCATTTTATATTTCTCAACACTTAATTCCCCAATTATCTCACTATCATCATAGACTAGTCCAAGAGGCTAGGACTTCACAAATTGCCCAGTCAATAAAACCTCCTGTATACAAAGAAAAATATGGAAACTTGAGGACAGTACTAGACATCCACTGATCCAGAAAGCAGAAGGGATAAAGCATGTCCCAAATCTGATTTGGACATCAGGCTCAATTGTGAATTAATTAATTAACTAGTCCTTGGTACAGTCAGCAGGGGTAAGAATATGAAATTATTCAATCTGTGCTACTGAAAAATACATTTAATATTAATCAGATGTCATCAAAATCCATGTAATATTTTGTGTGTATGCAAATAGATCAGATTTATTTTTAAATACATCAGTAAATTGGCAACACATAGTTATATTTTTCTGGCTGTGAAATAGAATATAGATTTTACATTATAAAAGTCTTCCTTCCTGAGAAATTTTTCCTGTAGTCTGACAGATTATCTAGCTGCTTATATGGCTTTCAGTGTCTGTAGTATCTGAGTTCCTGATCAGTTATCAGGATTATTCCTTTTCGAGATTTTTTTAGCCCTAGTAAAGTGATCATATTTGGATTGTGAAATGTTACAGTAAATCCCTTCTCCTCAATACGACCAGCTACAATTTTTGAATCATTAAGCTACTCTGTAGTTTGTGTGTATGCAACTGTGTTTAAGAAATGTCTGTATTTACTTCATGTTGTTCTTAACTTCGCACAAGTAAAAATTATTTCTTAAGTACAGAATTACAGACTTCCAGCTATAGGTTTCAGTTGGCTTGCACCTAGACATAAAGAGACAACATATTTTTAATACATTATTGCAATCTTTAACACTCAGTGAAATCACTGCAGTGCTAAAATATGGTATCTATCATCTTAGTCAATATTTATTAGCTAATTTTGATTTAGGTGAATATAGCTAACAACATACTGGACATAAAATACAAAGTTAAATATATTTGTTGTTTGTTCATATTACTCACTTAAATACTTCAGAGGATAAATGAGTATATTCCTCTTCTTGATGTGGCTATATAAAGGAAATTATATGAAAGGAGAATGTACCTTTAAAAGTATTCTTAATCTCTCCTGAAGGTCTTGACCCTACTGCAAGTTTAGTAAATAAATAGGCTCATCCCTATTACAAACTATTGTAAAAGTATGAGAAATTACATTATTACAATACATTATTAGGTATAAGTGCAAAAGCTCTGAATTGCAATCAGTCAATGACTGGCATATTTTAAAAAGAAGAGTAATATTCTAGATCACTTTAGAAACAGTAATAGATACAATTGTTTTTATGTCTAAGAACAATGGCAAAAAAGCATTATGTAATACATTTGAAGACTGTTAAAAAGAACATGGAGATAATAGTGAATTAAATTCAGAGCAATTAAGATTACATTTTAAAGAAAAGTTAATAAACCCTCTAGCTTATCTGTTGTCCTTTTTATTTTCAGTGTTCGTGAAAAGGCACTATAAGTGGTATCTTTTTTGTGATAAGTGTTATGAAATAAGTATGTGCTATGCAGCACATCTGTGTGGTTACCCAAAATGTTCAGGAGCACCTAACAGTAAACACAAACAGTGGCTTTAAAGATATTTCTGTGCTGAAGTATACTTTGATGGTGAGGAGCTGTAACATGCTAAATTCTGAGGTTTCTGTGCAACAGAAACCATATTGTATAGATGCACTCCACCTATAGTACTGTGGTCAACTAGTCTGATTGAAAATAGTTTTAGATGCAGAAAAATGTGTCGGGTTAGTACATTCTCCCCTCCGCATGTGATCCATAGCTTGGTTAGCCTTTTCTAAAAAATTATATAGATGTTCATATTACTGTGTGTAACATTGCATCACAATTTTCTGCAAGCAGATAAAGTGTTTAAAAGGCATTTGAAAGACTGATCAGTTTTTCAATGGTAAGATGAGTTTTTGACTGTGTATTTCATCAATCATGCCAAACAGCAAAAGCCAGCTGGACCTTACCCATTTAGATATGTCTTAATATCAGCCGTGACAAAAATATAGATTCAAATCTAATGCTGTGCAAACTGTTTTTTTTAAATGCTTGAAAAATCAGATTTAATACTAATCTGTCTGTTGTTAATAGATTTTATAAAGGTGTTACAATGATCGAGACGGCAATAAAAGTGACATCATTCATGATACATCCTGGAGAATAAATGTACAGAGCATTGGCATACAGCCACATCTCTTTGAGATAGACTAGCTGGTAGGGATTAGAAATACTTAAATGTCACGTTTTCCATGGCATGACCAGCTGGGATTCCAAGGTAGAGTGGGGTTGCAGTTATCATTAGCTTGCATTAGGAGTGTAACAAGATAAAACAACAGCCTTCTGAACCATGCAGAATGGAATCTTTTTTGCCTAAGTGATGAACCATGTGCATAGGTACTTTTACTGATGGTATTAAGGAATTGGTAGCACTGAGTGTCAGATTAAGCAAGTCTACACTACCTGATTAGTGCTTCCCTCAAGTTGTGTCAAATACCCTCACTGCATATTTGATTTGACTGATAATTATTTTAGTACCGTACGTTTATTCACTTTCAAAATCCATCACAGAAAATTACTGTAGAGGAAAATAGATATTAAAAATAAAATATCTATGTATGTGTTTAGTGCAAATGGAATACAGGAAAAAACAGAAACAAGTCAGTTCTTACTATCAGATTAGATTTCTCATGGTAAGAAACTCATATACTAAGATGTGTATGTTTTATTGGAACTTTGCAAATCAATCATGAAAGAAATTCAGTATTTAATTGCAGGTCTTCATACTGCTTAGATTTTGCATAGTTTGCAAAGTTTCATAGCAGTTGCTGACTTGCCCTCACACAAGCCATATATGTGCATCCCTAATTTACCAAGATAATGTGACTGGAATCCTTTCATTGTACTAAAAATGCTAACTCATATTTCTAAGTATCTCCTTTGAGATTAAATAAAATGTGTCAACAGGTATGTATGGATAAGAACTCACCTCAGTAATGCATATATATTGCTGGCTAGTCAGTACTTATATAACTTGTTCTTCACTCCCGATTTATATTCTTCATTGTACTGACACTTGAGAATTTGAAAGTGAAACAAAAAGGATTTTTTAATATATCTGGTAATTTTTCAAAACTGTTATAGATCTGTGCATCTCTACATCAAATCATCTTTTTTGACTAATTAAATGAGATATAACTTTTTTCTTACTGATAGATAAATTGTGGGGTGGAATTCAACTGGAACTAAGACCTGTTGAATAAGAATAGGCTGAATCTTTTGTTAAAAGTTTTCTAGAACTGAGGTGTAATGTTTAAAATGTTGTGGGGGTGAGTGGCAAAGACATCTACTATGCAGAATAAACTTACTAGCTTATGTGTGGGCAAAAGATTAAATGTACTGAATTAAAATATTTTGGGAAGAATCCAGAGCCAATCGTTTAAACTGGTTAATGAGACAGGAAAAATTCACAGTTCAACTAATGGAAATGCCCCATTTTTTTACTTTCTGTAGCTTGAATTGTGCATTGAGGATTGTATGCATTTCCTTCAGTTACTTAGCACTTCGATATTTGTGTTCTGTGTTGGAACTGTGTTTTGATTTATTTGCTTTCCAGCTGAACTTATTGAAGCTCAAAGACTATAGAATTGTAAGTTATAATTTCATAAAAGAAACAGGACTCTAGAAAAGAGACTTGGGGATTTTTGACAGACTTATTTTCCTTTTTCCAGGTGACATTTACAAAGAGGAAATTTGGGTTAATGAAGAAGGCTTATGAGTTGAGTGTTCTATGTGACTGTGAGATTGCTCTAATCATCTTCAACAGCACCAACAAACTGTTTCAGTATGCCAGCACTGATATGGACAAAGTGTTGCTGAAATATACAGAGTACAATGAGCCACATGAGAGTCGAACGAATTCAGATATTGTTGAGGTAAGAATATATGTCCTGTGAGGACTATTTTTTGTCAATGCTCATCTAAGACATCTGATCTTGCTGAATGATTTCTGAAGCTGTGTAGTTTATTTTTAAGAACACTGTAATTTAAAAGAATTCAAGGAAAATTGACTTAAAAGTTATATGACAAATGTTTGCACTTTCTCTGTCACACAAAAATAGTTGAACATTGGAAAAATCCAACTTTGCTTAGAATGCTTTTACCAAATATGTAAAATTAGAGCATGGAAACAACATTTATCAGAACGTTATTGACACTTTATAACATTATCATAGTAGAATTATTTAATGTAGACTGTTAGATGTAGCAATCTGTATTTTAACTGCTCAAGAATATTAATTCAAACTTAAAACATTCATTTTCAGCATTCATTAATTCCATTACTATCATAGCAAGTTAAACATAGTTTAAGACTCAAACCAAAGTAAATGTGACTTTTATGGATTTTGTTAATATAATAAAACATTAAGTAAAATTTCCAAAAGTGCCAAAGTGACTTAGGAGCCTAAAGGAAACATTTTCAAAAGCTCTTCAGTGACTAGGCACCAAAGTCACTGAGGTGCTTTAGAAAATGTTACCCTTAAACTCTTAAATCACTTAGGTGCTTTTGCAAATGAAACTTAGAGGCTTCTGAAAATTTTACCCTTGATGTACACCAGTCAAGAATTTTGAGCACTGCAATAGAAGAGATTAAATTTAATTTGTACATTTTAGATACTTTCGATGAAGAAATAGTTCATGAGCCTATAGATTGTATTGAACTTACTGCTAGAGGTTCACAATACAGTCACATGAAACTATATTAATAAATATTGTAACTAAGAATATAACCCTTTTTGCAATATAGTTTCATGTTGATGTACAGGGCTCTACTGTTTAGCTACCTCCCAGATCCACCTGCACATCTCCTTGCCCCCATTAGGAAAGGGAGTGAGTTCTCGCCAAGGGTGCACCATGGGTGCTGGAATCCATGTGAGGTGGGACCACGAAGGGTGTGGGATGTACATCATTCCCCCCACCTCTCCAAGCCCCCCTTGGAGCCTCCACACCGATGGGCAAAGTCTCCCACTCATCTCTAGGGATTCAGCCCTGGCACTGGTGGCCAGTCCTATGTGCCGTTCTGCAAGGGACAAACCCTGACCCCCAAATTATCCTCCTTCCTCTCCTGACAGAACAAAAAGAGCACATTCTTAGGGAGAAAAACCTTGTTGTGATATTTTCCCTCTAAGCTCCCTCTTTCAGGTTTTCCTATGGAAACGGGTGATCAGGCCAATAGGTCGGGATTTATCTGGGTCATTTGCTGTGCTTCACAATGAGTGTGTAGGTCCTTTGATCATCAAGTCCTTTGGTTTCCAAGAAACTTCAATGTAAATGTGAAACTTAAGCTATGTTTATGTTGCTGTAACTTTAAGGAGTAGATTTTCAAAGGGAATGATATGCACACCTGCAAAACCCTTTTTATTTTATTTTACTTTTTGCCCCAAAAAATTATCTGATTTACTCATGTGTTATCCAGGTTGCATTCGAATGTGTAATTTTGTGGGGGACACAAACTTCTGTGGATAACCATATTGTTTTCAACCCTTAGAAAATTTAGCCGAAAAATGGGTAAATATAATTATCACTAAAACAACAAGGAGTCCGGTGGCTATCCCCTGATAATTATCATTATTTAAACGGAATGATGTTAGTAATAAAGAGAAGCCAGATAAAGTGCCTTTCATTACGTTTCTTCCCATATGGATTAGCTGTGATAGTAGTTTAATCAGTGGGCAGTTTGAATGATGTGGTTTCTAGCATTGAGAAGTGCTTAGGCCTCTCCAGTGACAGTATTGTTACCAGGTCGGAAGAAATAGTTAAGCATTATGTTAGTGTTGAAAAAGATTTGTTATATTACCAAAAAAATTTGTGCAAGTATGTCTTTACTTGATCATTAACTTTACTGTACCAGTTCAACGGGGCAAAAAACCCACAAAAGAGCAGACAGATGGTTTTGCACTCAGTGTAGTTTCTATATACTGTATGGTAAGATGCAGAATACAAAACTGCCACATTTTAAATATTTAAATTGATCATTTAAAATTTTACTGCATTATGAGTATTTCCTTGTGGAGAGTCCGCTGCATTTGGCTGTGTGACATCTAGACTTCATAAAGCTTTTAATTTTGTTCTTCCTAGGCAATCAAAAGCAGCCTAAGGATTGGATGGTATTATTAAATTTGTTCATTTTCATCTTAATGATTGTTCAATAACTGTACTTCAGCAAAAGTACAGAGCATAGCTCTGCTTGCAGCTTTCTACAAAACTAGAGAAGAAAATCTTTTAAAGTAACATTGTTTTTGAAATACATGCATGGTATGCCTGTGTGACATTCTCTGTAATTAATTTAGAATCCCAATTTCTCTTCACATGATGCATAGTAATGTCTGTTTAGTTACTTTTTTCGATTCCGCTATCGGTGATTAGCACATATCACAACTTCTTCAAATTGTATACATTCCTATAATTCAAAAAAAGTATAGATAAGAACATTAGTACGGCCATACTTGGTCAAACCAATGGTCTGTCTAGCCCAGCATCATGTCTTCCAACAGTTGCCAATGCCAGGTGCTTCAGCGGGAATGAACAGAACAGGGCAATTATCGAGTGATCAATTCGCTGTCGTCCAGACTCAGCTTCTGGAAATTAGAGGTTTAGGGACTCCCGGAGCAGGAGGCTGCATCACTGACTATCTTGGCTAATAGCCATTGGTGGACATATCCTCCAGGCATTTATCTAATTCTTTTTTGAACCCAGTTATAATTTTAATCCTTGATATACTTTCATTACTTTCAAATGAAATTATTGCTATTCAGATTTAAGCCTAAATTATTTTTATATAGCTCTGATTAAAGTTGTTAGTTTTATTATCAGCCATTTTAAATGCATTTTACTGGAATTAATTATGTCTAGTATTTATGAAGATACCACTCTTCAGATAACAATTTATTATTTGAAGTAACAGAAGGCAAAGGACTTTGCATTTCTAATAAGTGTTATGCTGTTTTTCAAGGAAGAAATGACTTGGAATAAGTTAATGGGTGTTTTAATGTTATTGCAAATCACGCCAAGCTATCTCAGTGCTGCTCAACTTGTACATATAGAATTCAGAGTACAGCCATGACATGAAGTAGATTAGCTAATATTAAGAGAGTTTATAAACCGTTTAAACCAGTCGGGTTTGTCTTCTTTTCAAACTTTCTAATCTATCATATTAAAAACAATTAATCCTATAATGTTATTTTTACATAACAATCGCAGTCACTTATGATACCTGTCTCTGAAATTGCCTGTTCAACTTCATTTCACTCAGTATGCAACAGATCCAATGTTACCTTCCTTATAAAAATGTATTCTGAAATACAGGCGTGGGAGTTTTGAGTTCTTTGGAAAAGTTATCTGTTAAATGGGTTTGTTTCAGGCATTACAGTGTAAATTTCCTCTTACCACCTACTGGTCACCTAAACTCTAACATGGAGGTATATCACTTTTGAGAGAGAAAAGTGTATTCACCCTCCATGTTTACTCATGTTTGGATCTCTTCTAAGCAGTGAATGACAACTATTCCAAATCCTGTAGAATTATGTGTGGCAGTTTTGTGATGTGTATTGGTTCCGCAAACAAAGCTTCACTTTGAGGCCTCAGTCTGGAGTTGAACTGTGTTCCTAAAACTGAAGCTTCAGTGTCTTTAACCACTAAACCACCCATCCCACAGTCTTTCATTTAACCTTATTTCTCTTAATACAGCACATCAGTTATTGGGATTTGACAATTTATTTTAAGGAATAGTATGAGCTATGTAAGGTTTGGTTCTCTCTAAACCTTTTGATTTTGATGGCAAAGATCAACTTCTGCATTATGTAAACTTCCCAATGCTGTATGATAGGTACCAAAAACAATACACTTAGTACAGTTGTCATTCTAAAAATAGAATTCTCTTGTGCAATAGAAAATTTTAGATTACTAGAAGTCTTGTTATTCTTTACTTTAAAGTGGGATAGGTCTTTCTCAGAATAAAAACTCCTTTTGCATTTACTACATTTTTTTTGTTTAATCTATAAAATAGCATTGTTACAACTATGGGTTTCGTTCCATCTTCAGTTGTATACAAAATACATCAGATTCTCCCTTTCTTTAATTGAATGGGATCTATAATAAGTATCACTTACTTAACATGCACAAAATCACAATCCTCCAGTTTTGGTTACTGAGGTCATAAATGGCTGTATTGGTATTTCTGCTTGGGGATGAGGAAAAAATGGGATTAAGATGGGAAAAAGGGATGGGTTGATTTACTTAAGTGAGCAAATTCCACTTTCTGCAATAGAACAGAGATCTCATTGTTTGTTCAAAATCATGGAGTCTGATTCTCCTCATTTGTATAAGTTTTACACAGTTGTAACACCATTGACTTCAGTGGAGTTTCTCTTGCTGTACCCCAGTATGAGTGAGAGGAGAATCAGGCCCATGGCTTGTGAATTTGCTGCCCATGTCCCTAAAAAGTAAGTGGGTCATATGTCATAAATAAAGGATGCATGCATGCATCTCATAAAGATACCTCTAATGAGCTAATCTTTACACACCTTGAAAACATGACCTTAGTTAAAATAGTTTAGTCTGTTAGTATATGTCTGGTTAAAATGCATGGAAAACACCAGTTTTGATTATTTTGACACACAAAGTCAATGGGTCTTAATTTGTTAGACATAATACACATATTACAATTATAATAAGGAAAATCTTGTCTGCAATTGCCAATTGTACCAAACCTTAAGGTCTATGAAAGCTACAGAGCCATGCGTAAACAGCCCATAAGTTCCTTTTGTTTGCAGGAAGAACTGGTCTCTTTTGCCTCTTTTTTGTGCCTGATCATGGTTTTCCCTATGGTTTACTCAGTTTCCCATATCAGAGACCACTTTCTAACATTACCTCTAGG